AGGCTCTCTGATTTGGCTGATGCATGTCGTCGTTTTCGGGGTGGTGGCTTAGCCTAGTGGTTAAGGCGTTCGCTCGTCACGCTGAAGACCCGGGCTCGATTCCCACATGGGTATATTGTGTGAAGCCCATTTCTCGTGTCCCTTGATATTGCTTGAATATTGCTAAAACCCAACTCACTGACTCACTCCAAGTGCATCGATCGATGCTCATGATGTCAATCGCTGGATTGTCTGGTCCAGACTCGACTATTTACAGACAGCTATCATGTAGCTTGAATATTGCTGACTGCGGCGTTGAACAACAAACAGAAAACCAATTTCAGCAAAAAGAACATATTTTGAGAAATATACGAGTTTAGCGGATCTTCGTTAGTCAATATTACTATAACGTGTCACGCATCTAACTGGAGTTCTCATGTTGATTTCAAACAAATGACTTTGTTAAAAAAGCAGTCGTGCAAATTACGATGGAATTAAATTCAGCAAAGTGCGCGTATAATGAACACTCTTATAACGAACTAACGCATATAACGAACTGTTTTATTGTTTTTAATTGCGGGTGGGGGTGGTGGTGTTGCCCGACACTTGCTGTATTGTTTCTATTTTATTTCTATTTTATTTACATCTTATTTATTTCTTATTTTAGTTGGTATTTTATTTTATTTTATTTATTTACTTATTTATTACTTTTTACCTTTAATTTTTATTGTAAAGACGCAGTTCGGCTGATTTCCCGTTAATAAACCCGATTAGTTACAGACTAGCATTGTACAATGTCGATTTTGTGTTGATAAGTATGGGATCCGCGGCAGATAATGCTGACAGCTTCTGTTCGTAAATAGTGAGTGCATCATTCAAAATATTTCTATCACATTATTTGAAAAGAAACATGCATGCAAGAATATCCAATTGAACATATATCCTGTGTTAAATAATAAACGTAAGAATGATCACAGTAACTAGTCCTTTATACCTTTGTGTATACATAATTATTTATCTGAATGAATATATACACACCATGTAAAGTAAGAATACGGCAAACGTCAGATGTAAGCGTTGAAAGAAACGTAAACAGCCAATGACAGGCTTAGAATTGCACGGACACCTCTCAAAAGCAGTAACATACCTTCTCGAACCTTTATTTTACATGAAAGCGTGTGTAAACACATACCTGCCTTGTGAATTCCTTCAGAGCAGTCCCCCGCGTGCGCAGATATCCCTGCACCACGGCAGAACAACATAGTGTAGTTTAATTATATGGCTTACAGTGGTTAAATGTCACTCCGTCATGTCTTCCATTTAGCCTAGAATACCAAAGCCTTATGTGAAGGGGGCGGTGGGGTAGCCTAGTGGTTAAAGCTGTCGCTTGTCAAGCCGAAGACATGGTTCGATTCCCTACATTGGTACAATGTGTGAAGCCCATTTCTGGTGTCCCCTGCCGGGATATTGCTAGAATATTGTTAAAAGCGGCGTAAAACCAAACTTACTCACTCACCTTATGTGAAGGTGCATCTTCACTAAACGTGTCAGCTGTGGAATAGGTAAATCACGAGAACAAACTTCAATAAGTTTGTCTCATCGATGAAGCGTCCATGCCGATGAGTGTGTAAGTGAAGATGTTGAAGATGTTTCGTGCAGTCGAAACATTAAAGATGAAATCAAAACCAGAGTTTAATGAGTGAGTGAGTGAGTTTTGGTTTTACGCCGCTTTCAGCACTATTCCAGCAATATCACGGCGGGGAACACCAGAAATCGTCTTCACCCATTGTACCCATGTGGGGAAACGAACCCGGGCCTTCGGCGTGACGAGCGAACGCCTTAACTACTGGGCTACCCCATCGCCCCTTTAATGCCGATGATTTGGACCACGGCTAATATGAAAGAAACATATTCGTCCCTCTTCACATATAGTGTACCTCCCTTGGTAGTGCATGGGTCATTTAGTCATACATCCAAATACGAAACAGATGTACAGAGGGTTTTGTTGGCAGCGGTCTGCAAATAATCGAGTCTGCGAGCCTGACCACCCGATCCCGTTAGCATGGGTTGCTGAAGACCAATTCTAAACCACCACCCTTCCCCCACCCCCTCCCAGTTGCCTGGTATTATTGTAGAGCTGCTTGGCGTCTTCCAGTCAAATAGGGGCGGCGGGGTAGCCAAGTGGTCAAAGCGTTCACTTGTCATGCCGAGGACCCGGGTTCGATTCTCCACGTGGGTACAAAGTGAGGAGCCCATTTCTGAGGTCCCCCGCGGCGATATTGGTGGAATATTGCTAAAAGAGGCACGTGCGTGCGTGCATGCGTGAGTGCGTGTGTTCTCAGAAAATTGTTATAGTTGACACGAGTGCCTAAACGGTGTTTTATCGACAAAGTACTTCATACCGTTTGTAGTCCATCTGCTCCATAAGGAAAGTCGCTCACCAGGCAAACAGGTGACACACTCAACCCTAAACATATCACTGTAAGCGTGTAAGCCGCTTAAGACTTAGACGATACACCCCAGTTTTCGCATTCACACAGAGTGGGTCGAAACTTTACTACACATTTACTTTCAAAGTGTAACTTGATTTCATCAAATTAATCATTCCACTGCTACCTAACCAGAGAAAGCTAACTAAATGTTATCAGGCTTATCTGCAAAAATGTGAAAGTTCTTTTTTTTTGCTGAAAAGCATATGTAGAGACGACCAAAAGATATGAAAGCTTACTTGTTTACAGTTTGAGAATGCTGTGAATTTTGTTGTTTGGTAATATCTATATATTTCTTGTTGTAAAGGTTTGGAATTTGGTTTGATTTTCTTAATAGTACATCTGTAAAGAATTGCATTCAAAGGGTTATTATTCATACCCTTAAATGCAAATATATATAAATGTAATAAATATATAAAAGTTGTCTCTGTTGCCCATCAACCCAAATGTAAGACATATGTCACCTTTACTTTTGTTATATATGGCAAGGTTATCATAAACCATTGATATGGAATATATTGAAGAATTTCACATTAATACATTAGCCCAGCTTACCACAAAACCATTGATATGGAATATATTGAGGAATTTCACATAAACGCATTAACCCAGCTTATCTCAAAGCCATTGATATGGGATATATTGAGGTATTTCACATAAATGCTTTAGTTCAGCTTACCACAAAGCCATTGATATGGGATATATTGAAGAATTTCAAATTATTGCATTAGCACTGCTTACCACAAAGCCATTGCTGTGGAATATATTGAGGAAATTCACATTGATACATTAGCCCAGCTTACCACAAAGCTATTGATATGATATATATTTTTCAAAACATAAACGCACCCGGTTACCACAGCTTACCACAAAGCCATTGATATGGAATATATTGAGGAATTGCACATTAATTCATTAGCCCAGCTTACCACAAAGCCACTGATATGGGATATATTGAGGTATTTCACATAAATGCTTTAGTTCAGCTTACCACAAAGCCATTGATATGGGATATATTGAAGAATTTCAAATTATTGCATTAGCACTGCTTACCACAAAGCCATTGCTGTGGAATATATTGAGGAAATTCACATTGATACATTAGCCCAGCTTACCACAAAGCTATTGATATGATATATATTTTTCAAAACATAAACGAACCCGGTTACCACAGCTTACCACAAAGCCATTGATATGGAATATATTGAGGAATTGCACATTAATTCATTAGCCCAGCTTACCACAAAGCCACTGATTGATATGGAATATTTTGAGGAATTTCACATTAATGCATTAACCCAGCTTGCCACAAAGGCATTGATATGGAATATATTTTTCAAAACATAACCGAACCCGGTTACCACAGCTTACCACAAAGCCATTGATATGGAATATATTGAAGAATTTCACATTAATTCATTAGCCCAGCTTACCACAAAGCCACTGATATGAAATATACTACGGAATATCACATAAATGCATTAGCCCAGCTTACCACAAAGCTATTGATATGGAATATATTGTGGAATTTCACATAAATGCATTAGCCCAGCTTACCACAAAGCTATTGATATGGAATATATTGTGGAATTTCACATAAATGCATTAGCCCAGCTTACCACAAAGCCATTTATATGGAATATATTGTGGAATTTCACATAAATGCATTAGTTCAGCTTACCACAAAGCCATTGATATGGAATATATTGTGGAATTTCACATAAATGCATTAATCTAGCTTACCACAAAGCCGTTGAAATGGAATATTTTGTGGAATTTCACATTAATTCATTAGCCCAGCTTACCACAAAGCCATTGATATGGAATATTTTGAGGAATTTCACATTAATGCATTAACCCAGCTTGCCACAAAGCCATTGATATGGAATATATTGAGGAATTGCACATTAATTCATTAGTCCAGCTTACCACAAAGCCATTGATATGGAATATTTTGAGGAATTTCACATTAATGCATTAACCCAGCTTGCCACAAAGCCATTGATATGGAATATATTGAGGAATTGCACATTAATTCATTAACCCAGCTTGCCACAAAGCCATTGATATGGAATATATTTTTCAAAACATAACCGAACCGGGTTTTTTTGTGTGACGAACGTTATAACCACTTGGTTACGCATTGCCAGCCGCTTTCCAACGTAAAACGTGCCTGCTGTTGCAATCGTTACAAATATCAATACATGAACATGTATATCAATACAATGCTTCTTGTGTAGTGTGCCTGACGCAAGGTGGCGAGTATACCTGTCTGTCTACCTTTGAGGTTACCATCCACAATGGGATGCGATGACAGATGTGATGCTTCGTGTTTTATTTTCCTTTTCTTTTTAAACATTTTTTTTAGTTTAAGTTGAGGTTGTTGTTTTTTAAATATGCTTTAAGAATTGTAAAAACATCTTGCATACTGTCCACGTTTGCAGGTTTGAGTTAGGGTTTAAAAGATGCAAAAACAAGTGAAAGAATGTTACTGGGTGCAGCGTTATGCATCAGTAAAGACACTTACGCATCTTATACATGCAAGCCTGAAAATACAAACACAAATAATCATATTAAAATAAACAATATTGCAGACAAATGAAATATGATCACCAAATATTTATTTCATCCTATTTCTTTATAGCTTTGTTATAAATTACAAAGTAAAACATTTTACTTGACATTTTATTCATACCTACATCTGTGATTTCGAAAGGTATAACCTAATATTCTTAACATCTTTACACATCGAGAGCACATTGTGTTATCCAAACAAACAAAGAATCAAGTCTTGAAACTAAAACGGTCTTCTCCATTACATGCCATGAAGGTCCGGTTAGAACTGGTCTTCAGCAACCCATGGCTCGCTGACTTGGTTGACACATGTCATCGTCTACTAATTGCCTAGATCGATGGTCGCTGAAGACCCGGGTTCGATTCCCCACATGGGTATAATGTGTGAAGCTCATTTCTGGTGTCCCCTTCCGTGATATTGCTGGAGTATTGCTAAAAGCGGAGTAAACCTAAACTCACTTCAAGCGATCCAAATACAGCAAATTACGCAGACTGCAATAATCTGAGTGCGCACGCATTCAGTCTGTCTGTTCCACTGTTGACGTAGCGGGATTATAGCATTTTCATGCACCCTTTCTTGGGACTGGGTCTTGTTTGTGAGTTGGAAAGCTATAGTAATTCTGGCAATGTACTGTGTTGAAACAATCAGAAAATGACAACAGGAACACCAAGGATCGAAAAAGTGCTTAGACAAGGTATTTAACATTTGCCCCATACCGCTTCAGTCGTTCTTTATGCTTTTTTCGAATCAAATCCACAAACGGTAACTCATGTAAATGCAACAAATCGCAATCGTTACGGGTAACATTAAAGTTACCATGCCACTCACTGGCGCGAAATGTTAAATGTTTGTCCGCAGTTTTGCTCTGACAAAAGTTTGTGGTCTTCGTGTTAATGCTTTCAAAGTATTGCACCTCATCGTTAAACGTTGGCCCTTCTGCAGCAATACGTTTGTTGAATTTTGCCAGGAAATGATCATACAGAATATAATCAAGAGCAAGGTATGGTTTTAGTTGGTCAGGGATATTTTCCATTGTAACAGACTTATGCGGGTGTGCATTTACTTTCAAGAACAGAATGTCTTCCATTGGCCATTTCAACATTCTTCGCATGAGCACCAGTGATTCGTAGAACATATCGGCTACAATGACAAGGTCGAACTCTTTGTCAAGTAGTTTAAGATGATTCATAAATTTGGGAATGTTTTTGTAGTGCCGTAAAGGAAAACCAAAGTCTCTGGCCATCTTATTATTTGTCTGAGAAAGACCACCTGCCCCGAGTTCATACGCTCCGGGGTCGTTGATGTAGGTTTCAAAAGGATCCGGTCCTTTGATTTCCATCATTTCTTTAAAATGATACACATTACGATAAAAATTAAATGCCGAGTGCATTCTTTGGAAAGGTTCTCGTACAATAGCAAAATACACAGTGTCCGACGGCAGAAAGCCAGCAATGAGTTGATGGTTGTAACGATGGAGATGATTACACAGAATGTCGTAGCCAGATGAGGTCACAGGAGGGATCAATGTTAGACGTTGCCTTTGATCTCTCAAATCCACATAGGTATCATTGAAGGGGAGGACAAAATTCAGGTTTCTTTTATTTCCAAATCTGTAAAATATGTTCATCATAGTGGAACTGGCACATTTGTGGACTTTCAAGAACGCAATATGGCGTACCTCGGATGAGTGATTAGGCAAAATGGAAGGACTCTGGGTAGTTTGGTTGTATCCATAAGCTGGTGAACGTCCAGGATCATCTGAAAACTCCTGCTGGCAGTGTATGTCCTCGACCCGCAGCTTGCTCTGTCCGCTGTACACTTTGTAGCCAATGTGCATCATTGACAGGACTGTGGCCACTGCAATGGCCGTGAGCAACCCTCTGAAACATAACAACAGCATCAGCTACAGCTGTATCATGTTTAAGACGCCTTGAATGGTTTAACTCAGATGATCAGTTGACACGATAGTTTAGCATCATTTAGTAACTATGTGTGTACAAATGTCACTCTTGTGAGCTTTTGTTGGGTGTTTTTTGTTTTGTTTCTTTTGCTTATTCTTTTCTTCTTTTTTTTCTTTTTAAAAAAAATTGTTTTGTGGGGAGGGGTGTGTGTTGTTGTTTGTTTTTATCTGCTTTGGGCGGTATTGTAATTACATCAAAGTGTATTAGCTCAAGGTTCATTTTGGTGAAACCCAAGAGGACGGACAATTCAATATGCTGACAATTCAAAAACACAATCAAGACGGACCAACGCCCATTGGTTTCTGGTACGCCTAAGCCAGGCAGTCTACCATAGATGATAGCAGACCCATGCACATACCCCACTTCAACAACACTTGCCAGTGCAAAGTTATAATATTGTTTTCAAAATGTTGTCACATCCGTTTAAAGATAATAAATAATTAGTGACATTTTTAAGGATGCATATACATGTATATCCTTGCACCACTGGATGGTCGATTAAGAATTATAAAGTTTTAAAAGTTTTATTCCAGTTGGAATGTCAGTCATCTTAGCTTGTGAAGTTATACTATAAACAAATTCATTTGGTCATCGCAGAGGAATTTCACTCTTACCTGCATGTCAAGAAGTATATTCGCATGATGTAATCTTCATGTGATGACTTGGTGGCTGAAACAGGAACGACGCTATATTACAGCACAATGTTGGTTGGTTGGTTGGTTGGTTGGTGTTTAACGTCGAGCTCAGCAGTATTCCAGCTATATGACGGCGGTCTGTAAATAATCGAGTCTGGACCAGACAATCCTGTCATCAACAGCATGAGCATCGAGCTACGCAATTGGGATACGATGGCATGTGTCCACCAAGTCAGCGAACCTGACCATCCCATCCCGTTAGTCGCCTCGACAAGCATGGGTTACTGAAGATCGATTCTAACCCGGATCTTTACGGGTTAAAGCACAATGTAACGTCGACAATTTTTTTGCTGCTTTTCGTTATTATTGATATAGAAGTATTTCTAAATCAAGCTAATGATCCAAAGACGGAACCACCAATACATACACAGTCATGAACTCATTCAATGATTCAATACGAAATAAATACATGAAAAAATCAAACATTTTGATTAGCCAGTGTTAAGGTTATCGTGTTTTATATGTTTCTCATCTCCACCTGGACCGTTGGCGTAGTCCAGTGGTTAAAGCGTTCGCTCGTCACGTCGGAGGCCCGGGTTCGATTCTTCACATGGTACAATGTGTAAAGCCCATTTCTGGTGTCCCCCGCCATGATATTGCTGCAATGTTGCTAAAAGCGGCGTAAAACTAAACACATTTCATCCAAGAGGGCGGGCGAAAAACAATACCAAAAAAAATATAGAAAAAAATGTTTTTGACATTAATTGTAATAGTTGGTAATAGCCTTTACACACGCGATATAGATCGCGTCGCTTTGCAGCAATTCTTTAATAATGTAAACGAAGAAAGATCAAGCTGACATGGGGGTTTTGTGAGTGAGTGGGTGAGTGAGTTAAGAGTTTTAGTCACATCAGCAGTAATACAACCATGACTAAAACAAGTTATACATTAATGACACATAAACCCAGAATGTAAAATACACGAAAGACAGAAAAAACAACTAGAAAATCACAGATAGGGCCTATAGATGTATAACTAGCATGTAAATCTAAAACAGGACATAAATATTCACAGCGTCGAGAACAATTGAAAAATAAGAAAACTTAATATTATTTCACGTCGAAATGACAATTCAGGACAAACGGGAGATAGGTGAGTGAGTGAGTTTAGTTTTACACCGCATATTCCAGCAATATCACGGCGGGGGACACCAGAAATTGGCTTCACACGTTGTGCCCATGTGGGGAATCGAACCTGGGTCTTCGGCGCCCCTAACCACTAAGCTACCCCACCGCCCCTGGGAGATTGGTAATGTAATAATATCGACAGACTAAAGGATCGGAAAAGGACAGTAATATTCACTGAATACGTAATTTCTGTTGGTAATTACTTGACAGATACGCGATACATAACCGATCAATGTGGGTATGCGCTTCCTTTAACGCCGCATTTCGCAATAGTTCAGGTACTAGTCAGTAGCCTTTGTTCAGACAATCCAGTGATTGATATTAGGTTGACTCGTCATCAACCAAGACATCGAGTCTGGACCAGATAACCCAGTGATTGATATTAGGTCCACACCGTCAGGGTATGTTGACACGTAATCAACCAAGACATCGAGTCTGGACCAGACAAGCCAGTGATTGACACTGTGAGCCGCGGTCCAAGCTGTCAGGTAGGTGGACACGTCATCAATCAAGAACTCGAGTCTGGACCACACAATCTAGTGATTGACACTGTGAGCCGCGGTCCAAGCTGTCAGGTAGGTGGACACGTCATCAACCAAGCCTCAGTCTGGACCACACAATCCATGATTGACACTGTGACAAGCGTCAGGTGGACACAATCAACCAAGAACTCGAGATCCAGTGATTGATACCAGACAATCCAGTTGACGTCATCAATCAAGAACTCGAGTCTGAACCAGACAATGCAGTGATTGACACTGTGAGCCGCGGTCCAAGCTGTCAGGTAGGTGGACACGTCATCAATCAAGACTTGAGTCTGGACCAGACAATCCAGTGATTGATATTGTGTCCACACCGTCAGGGTATGTTGACACGTCATCAATCAAGAACTCGAGTCTGGACCAGACAATCCAGTGGTTGACACTGTGAGCCACGGTCCAAGCTGCCAGGTAGGTGGACACGTCATCGATCAAGACTCGAGTCTGACTGCCCGATCTATTAATCGCCTCTTAGTGAGTGAGTGAGTATGGTTTCACGCCGCTTTTAGCAATATTCCAGCAATATCACGGCGGGGGACACCAGAAAAGGGCTTCAAACATTACACCCGTGTGGGGAATCGAACCCGGGTCTTCGGCGTGACGAGCCAACGCTTTAACCACCAGGCTACCCCACCGCCCTTGACTCCTGGACGACACCAGACAAAATACATGTACACAGCACCTGCCTGATGAACCTTTGGAGACACATGGTCAACCGAAGTCCACAGTTTGACTCCTGGACTGACTGACTGAGTTTGGTTTTACGCCACTTTTAGCAATATTCCAGCAACATCACGGCGGGGGGACAGAAATGGGCTTCACGCATTATACCCATGTGAGAATTGGTTTAAACATATTTATTTCCAAAAGAGAAACCGGATTGGTAAACAAGCAGTATGGTGCTTATATGAATACCGCTCCGGAATACAGATATATTATAGATATAATAATCGTACGGAGAAAAACATGATATTAACAAACGATAAACAATAGCTTTCTGGAAATGTAACAATCATAAACTGTAACATAGCCGCTTTTAACGTTAGAACCATTAGTGTCGGAAAATACTTAATAGTAAGTGCAATTTCGTTTTTTATATTACAACACAAATCTGCCTGACAGTACAATGAAAGAATGGATAGATTCTAATAATTCAACATTACCTTTAGTAGATCCATGAGAGTGGCCGTATAGTATTTATTTGATGTCATATCCTTTAGTATAGAAGTGCATTTTATGTCTTATGCATTTTATGTCTTATGTCAGTGTAATTAACGCACGAAAAGAAATAGTGAATTGGATATTCGTAACAGTAGCCACAAGAACAAGAGGGATTTGAAGATATAAATCGTTGATATTTATGTGCGTTTAAATCGCTGCAACCGAGCCTGAGGCGTGAATGGATAATCTGACAGAATCTTGTTCCAAAGCTTAAATTGAAGTAATTTTGACTATTATTATTATTTGACCCATTAATCTGTTTCTTAAAACTACCCAAAGTAGCCGTTTCTCTATAATCTCTATAATGTGAGAATTCGAACCTGGGTCTTCGGAGAGAGGAGCGATCGCTTTAACCACTAGGCTACCCCATGGCCCCTCAAGAGATTAAAGAAGAATTGTGTGAATGTATGTTTCGGATATATCAGTGCGTTTGGGTCTGTCACAATAATATTCGCTAAAAACAATTATAACAAAGCATAGATGAAACACTCTAAAAGTGATATCTTACCTTAAACACGTTATCCTCTCCTCTGACAGACTGTTCCTTTATCCTCAGTGACAGACGTACGCGTTTGTATATTATAGTCTGTGTGATTCAATGAGAAGAGCTTTCAAGTTTTCTTTGAGATGCGTTCGATTGCTCATTGTATATGAAACAACTATCGTTACACCGTGCAATAACTGTGCTTGTAAGTTTCAAACGATTTGACGTAGTGGCTTTGATACTGTAAGCAGGGCTCGTAACAATATCTCGTTACCGTGACGCACCTGTCACATTGACCGTAGTTTGCTCAGAGAGAATTGTCATAACTTTAGTGTATCATACACCCTCCGGTCGTTTAATATGCGGTACGGAGCATATTGCTCTGAATATTTCACCCTTTAACATATTGGATATCAGTTATTGTCCATTTGTGATTAGGGCCACTTTCCTCAATATTGATGTATTTCAACTGAAAGTTTGATATTTTTAGGTTTAGCAGTTTGGAAGATAGCGACCCTGAAAAGAATTATACTGGTGTTCGCTCTTCTTAATTTGTTTTATCATAGTCACGGCACGAAAGCACCACATATCGTTAAATTGGACAGAGAATGCTTTAAACTTAATACATTAGCGAGGGGTATCGTCTAGCTTGTGGCAATAGGGAAGATCTAGTCTTCGCTTCTTTGTAACTTCATCACAATGGACTATTTGATGACAGAAATGTCTTGCTTTACATTTAGCATCTTGACAAATAAAATATATTCCTAGATGATATTTATATATAGATTGTGTTTGTACTATAACGTCTATACAACACTCTGCCATGTACATCCGTGAAGATCCGGGGTAGGTCTTCAGCAACCCATGCTTGCCACAAAAGGCGACAATGCTTGTCTTAAAAGGCGACTAACGGGATCGGGTGGTCAGGCTCACTGACTTGGTTGACACATGTCATCGGTTCCCAATTGCGTAGATCGATATTCATGCTGTTGATCACTGGATTGTCTGGTCCAGACTCGATTATTTACAGACCGCCGCCATATAGCTGGAATATTGCTGAGTGAGGCGTAAAACTGAACTCACTCACTCACTCTACCATGTACGTAGAGGGTGGGGTTCCAGGAATATTGCTGAGTGTGGCGTTGAAGAACAAACAAACAAACCTAACAAACAGAGGTCCCGACTACCATCCGACTTAACAATCCCCGAGCAATATTGTAGGAGGCTTGCCGAAATTTTAGCGTTTATTATATACATTTTCCACAAAGCAGTGAGACAGTAACAGTAATCCACACTAGTTCTTTAGTGAATATTAATATATTTTGTATATAATCTGATACGTCGATGTTTGACGGAATTACTAACCCCTGTTTAATAGCTCCAGCACATATTAGGCTGAGTATCTTCTATCAAGTGTTTCCAAATTTACCCAGTTAATGCAAGATTTCTAATAAAAGTCTGGCAAAGTGTGTGTACCACACTGTGAGTGAAGGGTGTATTTGTAGCAATTTTGTACACACATTTTTTTAAAATTATGCTTATAAATTACGGGAAGGGTGTGGTGGGGGGGTCATTGATATTGTACCTGACATGCCTCGTCATCACCCCACCCCGCCCCGCCCTGCCCCCAAGCCATAGGCACCCATGAAGGGCCACCTCCTCGTGGTGGGTGCTGGGTCACGCTAAGCGCCCTTCAACCCCCCGTTGTGGACCCGGGGGGATATTAGGTCCACCAACCCGTTTGCCGTGGGTTGCGCCCCTGTGTCGGTGGAGGACGGGATTCTGGTGGTTGAGGGCAAGGGCTCCAGGAACAGCATTCCTTTGCCCAATACACCACTTCGACCCTTACTTCACCTAGACGGGTGGTTGAACTGGCCCGGTTCAACCAATCGGCTGGTCATGCCAAGCCCTGTGTATGTATATTTTGATACACACGTTTTAGACACTTTGGAAAATGTTTTCTGAAATGACTTGGCTTCATGTTTATGTTTTTGAATTTGAAAATATTTCACTTTTGTAATTTGCCTCGAGTACTATACCCAGAAGGCGGTGGCTCATGGGCCAATCTGGTGGAAAAATTAATCTTTTAGTTTTTCTGCTTGAGTATATCATCCGAGTATCCTTGGTGCTACAAGTTGGAGGCCCACTTGTGTTTAGCATTGTCCTTGTGATACTCCGTGGTGGGTGGGGAGCTCGGATGATGAACCATTAAAAACTAACCATGGCATACGAAACCCCCCTTAAAAAAACAAAACGTCCACTTGACACTGATCCAGATAACGAACAACGACTGTCCACATCCATTGATTACTGGCCACGTTTTCTCGTGATTGAGACTCAAGATAGCACAAGACTAAAATTGAACCCTTTTGCAATACAGAAAGGCATACAAGGCATTGCCGGTGACGTTAAAAATATCAAACGTTTACGTTCAGGTGCATTACTTGTTGAGTGCAGCAAAAGATCGCAGGCTAATAACCTGATGTCAACTGAAACATTCGTCGGCATTCCAGTGTCAGTCTCTCCTCATAGAACACTGAACACCAGCAAAGGAATCATCAGAGATAGAGATCGATTGTTTGCTGACATGTCTGAACTTGATATTGTTTCCGAAATGAAAGATCAAGGGGTCACATACGTTAAGCGTTTTACAACACGTAAAACCAGGAAACCATTCAGACTAATACGTACCTGTTTTCGTTTTCCTCTCCAAATGCTCCCAGATCAGTAAAGGCAGGTTATTGTCACATTAATGTCGACACCTACATACCTAATCCTTTAAGGGTGTTTTAAATGCCAGAAGTTTGGTCATGGGGTTAGTACTTGCACATTGTCTGTTTGTGTGTGCACTGTGTGTGAGAAGACACATACAACAGAAAGATTGTGACAGTGACTTTAAGAAATGTACCAACTGTGCAGGCAATCACTCATCATTCTCAAAGATTGTCCGATCTGGAAACAGCAGATGGAGATCAATAAGATCAAGTTCACCCAAAACATTAGTTTTACTGATGCCAAAAAGCTTGTCTTACGATCTGAAATTAAGGAATCCTATGCATCCATAGCCAAAACATCGTCTGATTCAACTCCTCCACTAACCAAATCGTCTGTGAGCTGTCAGACGAATTTAACCTGGCTCACAACCGATTCTCCTCAGATTTTGTCACCTGCTATGTCTACTCCTCAGATTTTGGCACCTGCAATATCTACACAAACTGCAGAACCACTTCCTGGTGCGCCCCAAGTCCGATCAGACCCATCTCGTGACCGTGGCACCTCTTCTCAGTCAACTCAACGGTCTCAATCAACGTCAAAGGTTCAACCAATCGTTAACAACAAAGGCAAATCGAAGCCAGATTCAAAGAAACAAAGTGGCAGAGCCCCCAAGGGGTCAGATGATAAAATCAAGTTATTTAACAAATACGGATCACTTGAGGACATGGACGTGTCCGAAAACGTCCATTCTAGGGCACATAGCTTGGTAGATCCCCAATTAATCCGCCTCCAAGATAGGTCTATCTACCAATATCGTGCAGTGGAACTGTAGAGGACTCCGGACAAATTTTAATGAACTACAGCTATTACTCCAGGATTTAACGCCATCAGCGTTCTGTCTGCAAGAGACATATCTGAAACAGACGGATATTTTTAACTTGCGTCAGTTTGAAGCCTATAGTTATTTTTCCCCTCCAGGTGATAGAGCCACTGGAGGTTCTACTATCCTTATTCGACAGAATGTAATTCACAGCCCTGTTACTCTTAACACTAATCTCCAAGCTGTTGCAGTGCGACTTACTCTGGGTGTAGCATTTACATTGTGCTCTCTGTATATCCCACCTTCATCGACACTTCAGCTGACTGATCTTCAATCACTCTATGACCAACTCCCAAAGCCATGTGTTATCATGGGTGACCTAAACGGTCACAACCCACTCTGGGGCAGTACTACCACTAATACTGAAGGTAAAATAATTGAAGACTTCATTTCCAATAATGACCTGTGCATATTTAATGCTGATTCAAGCACCTATCTCCATCCTGCAACTGGCACTTATTCTTCTTTGGATTTATCTCTTGCAGATTCACACCTCCTGAATGAATTTGATTGGTCTGTTCATAATGACCTTTGTGGAAGTGACCACTTCCCAACTATTCTTTCAGAAATAACTCCATCTGGTTCTCCTTCGTACACGAGATGGAACTTTTCGAAGGCTAACTGGTCTTCGTTTCAAACTAACTGTAAATCGAAACTGCAACCTGATTGTTTCAGTGATATAACTGATCCCATTCAGACTTTTTCTGATGTTTTAAATGAAATAGCTGATGAGTGTATACCAAAGTCCTCTACGACTCCACATGTACGAAAACCATGGTTTAATACAGATTGTAGACAAGCCAGAAAAGCGAGGAAAAAGGCCGAGCGTTATTTCCGCCATCATCCAACTGTCCATAACTTAAATAAATTTAAAATACTCAATGCAAAGGCGCGTCGTACCTTTAAACAAAACAAACGACAATCTTGGAGAAATTATGTCTCCAAAATTAATTCACGCACGCCAATGTCTAAGGTTTGGAACATGGTTCAGCGAATAAAAGGCAAAGGTTCAAAATCAGCTGTACACCATCTTAAAGATGGTGATAACTTGATAACTGATAAATCTGACATTGCAAATAAAATTGGCGAAACCCTTGCCAAAAATTCATCATCGGCAAATTATGTCCCTGAGTTTCAGAAATACCAGAAACAACAGGAAACGACTAAACTTAATTTCGAATCAAATAACGGTGAAGATTATAATGAAGTGTTTTCATT